CTTGTCTCCATCTGCGGTTTCGGTTCTCTCCTCTCTGGTCCGTAAGACCCCTCCAATTCAGTTTATTATTGCTTCAATTATTCTCGTGACATTGAATTTACTTAAAAGAAATATTGCCTAAACTTTGAATTTTTTTTTTAATTTATGGATTTGTGCTTTGATATGATTGCACAGAGAGGAGCGCGAGGAGTACATTTCCGCATTTGATAAACTTCAGAATGACGAAATTGAGTGGCTTTCGGAGAGTTTTTGCTCACGTTGCTCCGATTTTCTTCGAGCGTGGCATAGCTAAACCTGAAACCAAGGTGCTCTCTTATTTTTATTTTTTTGTGGGAAATTTTAATTCATTGGGGTTGGTGTGCACTGATTTTTTGCTCGGATGATGATTAGTGCTGCTGTTCAGTGTTGCTTATATAAGTGTAGATGAAGGGACGTTTACACTTGTATTGATGGTTGCTGAGAAGATTAAAGTTGATAAATTTCTCTAATAAAAGTGTCTTTTGTACCACTGGATTGGGAATTTAGAAGTGGAATTATAAAACAAAACAAAGCTAGTTAATATGGTAAAATTTTGGTATCCTAATTGCTTGACTAGTTGTAACAGTACCACTGTACTAGGTTGTAAATTTTTTATTTTTTTTTCCTTTCCTTTTCTATTTGATTTTTCTGATGATGAGAAATTTTCCTTTGGTTTTGTCTTATCTGAACTTTTCACAGCACTTTTAGTGATTTTGTGAAGCATCTCGGGTTTCGTTTTTGAATGATGCTGTGGTTTATTTTTACAGGAGATATCAAGCTTGAGTGTGGAGCCATGTGAAGGTGAAACCCTTGTAGTTACAACTTTCGAGATTCAAAGATCAGAGGTATACCTTATAAGATTGTTGGAAGAATTTCCGTCTGAGAAGCTGATATTAACTTGATTTCTTGCTTGGCAAAGTTAGATACCAGCCTTTATTGAAAGGGAACATGAATTCCGGTTTTTAGCAGTGAGTGCATTTATTTCTTAGTTTTATACGGTTAACTAACTTTTACATACATCTTTGCGCATAAGAGATACAGTACCAGCGACTTGTAATGGAATATTTGTTGTGTTTAGGTAATACCGGAAACATTTAATGGATTGTTTTACACGACTCCAGCAGTGAGTAACACTAGACTATGACTATTTTTGTGGTTTACTGTCATATAATTGATTCTTATATTTCTCACTGATGCAGGTATTATGCGCACGTTATAGTGATGAAGAGTATTTCGAAAACAGATGCAATGGTAATTTTTGTCACGGCTTCATGAGCATTTTCTTTTCATTTTTTTCATATGGGTATTTTTGTTTTTGTGTGAAAATAAGTTCGACCAGGTAGTTTATAATCTTGGCATGAGATGAACGCAGGTCAGTCTGAAGTTAAACACTATAACCAAGTTTATTTTTCATCCACAACTTCCACTATTCCCAGAGGATGAGATTATTGGGAGAGAATATCTATTGAATGAATCTCTTATATGTTATACATGACATTGCAATTGCATTTCCTATTTTCATCCCATCATTGTAATATATATACATATATGTGGATAATTCCTATTACATTTTTGAGATATCTTGGACAGGAAGCCAAGAGATCTTCTTTCAGCGTTATGGACGATATGGTATAAACAAGATTTGGGTAGACGATATCTTACCTTGTCGCGTTTATCTCAGGCACTGGTGAGTGCTACTCTTTCACATTTATGTGCATATATGTTTCTTTACAACGAATGCATATCCCTCAAGAATGAGTTGTATGCTAGATGCTCTTACTCTTCATAACAAGTGCTAAGTTGCGATTATTATTGGTCAAAGCACCCTTTTATTATTCGAGCTTAAAATTGTGGAACTTCTATTTTGTAGTGTCTTGGCTGCAAAGAACCTTGGTGATCTGGCCTATGATAACTTCCTGGATCATACTTTTCTTGGGGACCGTAAAACAACCATTCGTGAGTACTTGGCTACAGCCGGTTCAGGCGTAATGGAAGAGGAGCCTACTGAAATGCTAAAATACAGATATGGTGGTTGACACAAACTAACCCTATTAATAATTGGACAACTATAGGTTGAATGGACCATGAATGAGCAGAAATATCCGAATAATGTATTAACTAGAATGACCTTAGACAGGCCAAGTATGACTTGGATCTGGTGATTAGGTTGCATTGCAGTAGCAAATATCTGTTCTAATGTCAGCCAGAGAACATTGCTGAGATAAAACTTAATGTGTCACGTCAATATATTTAACCCTAATATTTACTGAATAAGAGATCAATTATTGATTTTCCAGTTATTCATGATCATTTATTCACGTTGCATTTAATTTTAAATTATTTTCATCTGTTTTGTATGTCATTTGCTTGCTCGTTTCACTGCAATAATGTGAAATTGAGGTAGAAGTAAATGTACACTTCAAAATTATTTTGATGTGGCCCAACCGGCTTGGTCCGACACCTCCAAAATTACTTGTGGGCAACGCAACCTGGCCTAAGAGCTTTACATTTCCACTTTTCCTTTTGAGAAAATTACCTAGAAACCTACTTCTAAAGTTTCATTTTCAAAAATCAGGTGGACTAATTTTAATTTCACAAATCAGGTGTTAATCAGGTTTTAATAATTAATTTAATTAAACCTAATTTACCTATTCACTCCCACCCACCCCATTCAAATATGAATTAGGCTACATTTACAGTCTTTTTTTACAGCCAATTACACAGCCCGCTCCGGTGCGGCGGAGCTTCTCGTCGGGTTGGAGGCACTTGTGCTGCTCGTCAGTCTGCCGTCGACTTCTCTGCTGCAAGCAATCGTCAGTCGCACGCTACTTTTCGTCGCTGACAGCACGTCGTTGGTGATGCGGATGTTAGATTTGGGTGAGATGGTGATGCGATGTCGGGTTGTAGGATGTTGGTGGTATTCTTCCCTTGTGTCTTCTTCCTAGCTGTATTCCGAGTTTTGTGTGTGCGCAATGGATCAATAGTTTGCACTAACAACAATTATGCTTCAAGAGAAAAGTGTAAAATCGTCAATCGTCAGTCGCTCGCGACTAACAATAATTAGCTCGCTGCTGCAAGCCATCGTCAGTCGCGCGCCACTTCTCGTCGCCGGCGGCACGTTGTTGGTGATGCGGATGTTAGATTTGGGTGAGATGGTGATGCGATGTCAGGTTGTAGGATGTTGGTGGTATTCTTCACTTGTGTCTTCTTCCTGGCTGTATTCCGAGTTTTGTGTGTGTGCAATGGATCAATAGTTTGCACTAACAACAATTATGCTTCAAGAGAAAAGTGCAAAAAATGTGGTCAACCAAAGGAGGTAGTTGCGATGCCAGCAATTGCAATCCCTTGAGCTTCTGTCCCTACTCATGCAAATTATTTTGCCAGGGATCAAGGACTGGACGAAAATGTCAATGTTGAATATTTTGGTGTGGTGGGGATGGAGGCGTAGTCGGCGACGCTGCAGAGTAAGAAGGCTGCAACTGGAGTTGGTGGTGTCGGCGAACCTTTTCTGTTCTATGATCAGATCACGATTTGACTACCGAGTAGTTTGTTGTGACCGATTGTGACGGTTAATTGTGACTCGTTGTGACCAATTATGACCGATTGTGACTTGAAATTTTGAAAATTTTTTGGAAGTTGGGAATTGGTGGATGGGGTGGGTAGGTTGATTGGAGCATGCGTTGGAGTGGTCATTGGAGCAGTTTGCCATAGGGATCGTGAATAGCCGTCGAAGAGAGCGTCAGGGTGATCGTCGGAATAGTCGCCGGAGCGACCGCCCAAGAGATCGCCGGAACCGATGGAGAGATGGGGTAGGGAAAAGATAGAGAGTAGAGAGAGACAATGATTTGAATTTGAAATTTAATAAACTGGGGTAATTGTATTATATTATAATT